ACCAATCAGCTGAAGATATAATCTCTTGTTGAAATCCTTACTACTGTTCCATATTAAGCTCCACCTTTCTTTGTTATTGTAATCATTTCTTCAAACAGTAAATTCTGCATTGTGATGCTTGTTTGGCTAACAATGGAGGACATAGGCATGTAATATGTCATAAAATCCGTAAGATGTGTAGCTTAGAGCAGAATCCATGGTGATGTTGGTATTTGTAACATATGAGTATAGATGACGAAATTGGGACTGCATAGTTTCCTTGTTCTATCTGTCATGCCATAACTTCACTGTGCTTCCAGATGATGGTGAACGGGTGGTCGCATTTTTTAAATCCTCCAAGATAGAACATCAATCTCCCCACCATAACGATCCAATTCTCCCGGGATAACTTGGCAACTCACCATTAATGTAGTAGGTGTTCCAGATCAATTGGACAAAAGGAATATCATGCTGGTTAAAGAATTTATATATGAATTTGGTTAGTAGTGCCTTGTTTTGCACTCCTAGATCGAGCACACTCATACCACTAGCTTTTTTGGGAAGGCAAACAACATCCCATTTCACAAGGCACTAACCATGCTTGTTAATATCTTTACCATAGCATAAAAACCCTCTTCCTGAATTTTCAAAATGGTCAAGGATTGGATTCGAATCACTTGTAGATTCGCTTTAGTGGTAAAGCTGATTTGTTGCCACCGAAGTACACTTTGAAGTGCTTCAATAGATTGCACTAAAAATGGCTTCAACAGATGGCAGCCATATGCTCACAACCTTCACCTCCACGATCTATTCTGGCTGCCTTCTAGTGGAAACCGATGAAAACAACTTACAAAACTTGTTTACATGTTTCAAATAAATCTCGAAGGTTGCAATAATGTTGAAGCGGCGGAGTTCTATAAAGACATAGAATTGAAGGGTCAGACTTGAAACCGTTTTGGAGGTATAAAATTTGCATACCTATGAACTGTGTTCACCGTGTTCCCGATGCCTCTCAATCTCGGACTAGGGTAACATATTTTGGTTCCAGTCAAAATCAATGTTTGAAATATGGTGATGAACTTCAATTTGTCTTGCTTCTTTGCTTCTTCTTTTGCATTAGCCTCAGCTCATGTTTGCGCAAAGCCTCATGTTATACCATTGTCTGGTTGGGCATAGTGTATAAATGATTCAAAAATTAAATGTTGCCGAAGTTTGAAGGTAGTTTAGAAAATAAAGACTCATACTGATTATCTTGTTTTGTTGTGGCCACAAGGAGAGAGCACATGGTTGATCACTTCTCTTCTCACCTAAAATTCCACGTGATGTTTATTTTCATAAAAATCATTTTGTAGCAGCAAGATGGTTCATATTCCTTCTTCAAGGTCTGACATGGCAAGGGTGTTAAATTAAAATACGGTGTAAATCAAGTTAACAACAGCTGCTTCCGATCTCAGGGTGTTACTTTTGTACTACTAGTGTGCATCTCGATTAAGAGAATGAATGGACATGCGCCGAACAGGATCGTGAATCGTCATCAGTCCCTCATGGATCTCGATCTTCCACCCCCTTCATCTAGTTGACCAATAGAGATAATGTTGTTGCGGAGGCTTGGGATGAAGTAAAATTCTGACAGTGCATGTTGATTGCCACTCTATCCTCTGAGGATGACTTATCCCCTTCCTTGGATCGTGACATGTGACCCATCTCCAAACATGATAGTGCCCTTCGTGGTGCTCATCCCCTTCGCGGGAAAGATGTGCTTGACCCTATTTGGCCTGCTCTTCCCGATGCTTGATCCTGGTGAGACAATCCTTTATCCAATGCCCTGGTTTACCTTAATAGTGGCATTTCCCTTTATCTTCTAGCTAGAGCCGCCCACACCTCCATTCCCCATTGTAGGTCTTTCACCTGCGCACGGTTTGGGTGTGCCCTGAGGATTACTTTTGCTGCCTCCACTTGAAGAGGATCCACATGTGTGTTGCTGCTGACTGTCAGTCCACTCGACCTTCGTGAGAAGAAGACGTCTGGTGGAGTGGCTTAGCTCGTCAAGGTCATAATGTTCATAGCACACCGAGAGATGCTCGGCGAGTTGCTCTATCGTCCTGGTCTTCACATCCAGCAGAATGTCGGGGAAGAGTTCCGTCAGCACAACGGCGTGGTAACGATCTTGATGTTCTACCGTCGCATGGCTTTGCCTAAGCACCGCTACAATATTATCGAGGATTATGGTGGAGGAGGGCACCACACGCGGCTAATAGATCTCAAGGATCAATTGTTGTGTCTAGAGGTGCCCCCTGCCCCCGTATATAAAGGAGCAAGGGGGAGGGGCGGCCGGCCAGGAGGAGGCGTGCCAGGGAGGAGTCCTACTCCTACCGGGAGTAGGACTCCCTCCTTTCCTTGTCCAACTAGGAGAGGGGGAAGGAAGGGAGAAAGGAGAGAAAGGAAAGGGGAGGGGGCGCCGCCCCTCCCTCCTTGTCCAATTCGGACTAGAGGGGGAGGGGGCGTGCAGCCTGCCCTGGCCGCCCCTCCTCTGCTCCACTTTGGGCCAATGAGGCCCATTAACCCCCCACCCCAGGGGGGGGGGGTTCCGGTACTCCGCTTTATATCCGATAACTCCCAAAACCATTCCTGTGTCCGAATATAGTCGTCCAATATATCAATCTTTATGTCTCGACTATTTCGAGACTCCTCGTTATGTCCGTGATCACATCCGGGACTCCGAACAACCTTCGGTACATCAAAATATATAAACTCATAATGAAACTGTCATCGTAACGTTAAGTGTGCGGACCCTACGGGTTCGAGAACAATGTAGACATGACCGAGACACGTCTCCGGTCAATAACCAATAGCGGAACCTGGATGCTCATATTGGCTCCTACATATTCTACGAAGATCTTTTATCGGTCGGACCGCATAACAACATACGTTGTTCCCTTTGTCATCAGTATGTTACTTGCCCGAGATTTGATCGTCGGTATCTCAATACCTAGTTCAATCTCGTTACCGGCAAGTCTCTTTACTCGTTCCGTAATACATCATCCCGCAACTAACTCATTAGTTGCAATGCTTGCAAGGCTTAAGTGATGTGCATTACCGAGAGGGCCCAGAGATACCTCTCCGACAATCGGAGTGACAAATCCTAATCTCGAAATACGCCAACCCAACAAGTACCTTCGGAGACACCTGTAGAGCACCTTTATAATCACCCAGTTACGTTGTGACGTTTGGTATCACACAAAGTGTTCCTCTGGTAAACGGGAGTTGCATAATCTCATAGTCATAGGAACATGTATAAGTCATGAAGAAAGCAATAGCAACAAACTAAACGATCAAGTGCTATGCTAACGGAATGGGTCAAGTCAATCACATCATTCTCCTAATGATATGATCCCGTTAATCAAATGACAACTCATGTCTATGGTTAGAAAACATACCATCTTTGATCAACGAGCTAGTCAAGTAGAGACATACTAGTGACACTCTGTTTGTCTATGTATTCACACATGTATTATGTTTCCGGTTAATACAATTCTAGCATGAATAATAAACATTTATCATGATATAAAGAAATAAATAATAACTTTATTATTGCCCTTTAGGGCATATTTCCTTCATCTAGGTCGGCGACAACCCCCGTCAGGCGCAGTTTGAACTCCTTAATAGACTTGTCATCCATGAACCAGAGTTCCTCAAATAGCGGCGGCGCACGTGCGCCTTGGCTTCATGGACGTGCTCACTGCCCATTCACAGGGACTTGATCGTCTCCCACGCGGTCTTGGTGGTGTCCTTGCTGCCGACATGCGCATCAGCTCCAGCGGCACGGTGGTGAGGATGGCGGCGAGCATGGAGATCCTCGTGCTCATCGTCGGTCCAAGCCTTGATCACAGCCCAGAGCCCACCCACCTGCAGCTTGACTTGCAGGAACAAGAACTACTCCATGTAGTTGGTGTGGGTGAGCATCAGGGCATGTACAATGGGGTTGACTCGGCTGTCTGTAAGCAAGTACACGTAGGACATTTGATTACGTGGTGGAAAGAGAAAGAGGAGAGAGAAACTACCCATCTGTACAATTACCGATCGTCTAATCGCACAAAATTCGCTGATTAGCGACGTCCATCCTCCCGTTGTACGAAGGGGTGTCTGCATCGAGCAGTTTCTCCTTCCAGAATCTGTCCAACCACCTCATGATTTTAGCGACGATATAGACAACTAAATAGACGATCCATTGTAAAAGCTGTCTACAGTAAATAATTACAGAGACTATATCTGACATGGACAGGGGCTACAGACGAAACCTGTCTAGACTGTTGTACATGCCCTCATGGACGCCGATGACTCCGTCTCGCGCACCACCCTCTCCACCACGCGGATTTCTCCACTACCGCGCAGTGAGTCATGCAACCGGTGCGATAGTGGTTTGATCTCCTTTCGTCTTCTCCTTCTCCATCTCGAGTCCAACATGACCGTAGTAGTTGAGACACCACTTGATCTACCAGGCTTAAGGTCGAACACCCATGACTCTGATGCCAATTCTTGTTGCCAGAATCGCCCAGAAGGTTAGAGAGAGAGAGAGAGAGAGAGAGAGAGAGAGAGAGAGAGAGACTAACGGGAGAGAGACAATGCTTTGCCTCGCCTAACTTCGCGATCTTTTCTTATATTCTTTCCTCTGTATACGTCGATTACAAAGGATCTCACCAAACTGCTAACAAACTCCGGTCTAGCTGCCCCAGGACTCACGTAATGCCACGCCATCCCATGGCTGCTTCCTGCGTGCCTTGCTAGCCGGAGAGTATAAGAAAAATGCAAAGGAAAAAGTTCGTGCATGCAGCACTATACTGTGCATGTGCATGGCAACATCACATCGACATGCACTACATTATTCAAAGTTGAGCTTATTTCCTACAACGACGGGATGATCGGATGGGCCATCCACTCTGGAGGATTCGAGCAGTTAACACCAAACCGATCTTTTTTTTTTGTAAGCTAGCTCCCGATGGATTGAGGCATAGCTTGAGGAGTCAACAGGCACCTGGCCGGAATCCGAGTCTACCACCCCTAATGTCGTACAACATCTCCAACGTTCTCATTTGGACGTTGCTGATGGTCCCGCCGTAACCATCTGGCCCGGACTCGCCGAAGGCTAGACAGCCGTCCAACAGAACCCCGTTGGGGACATCGAGGTCAATCGTGACGCCACCGCTGAACGTGAGAGCGACCTTGGGCACGGTGACGTTGCTGTATCCGGTGAAGTTGTAGCATGTCTCGTCCGGGTCGCTTGGGACGAGCGGGTAAGCCGCCATGGCCGCCCGGAACGCGGACTTCAGTTTCGCGCGGGGCGTCGTTGGTAGCATTGTGATGATACTGCCGCAGTCTACGAGCATGCCCCCCTTGAGCGCCTTCCGTGGGATGCGGAGCTGCTTCCCGCCGACGCTGAACCGGTGAGCTTCACCACGTAGAAGGCGGTAATGGGCGTGAATGAGAAGGCCGAGGTGTTGCTGGGCGCGCCAAGAGCAAGGAACCCGGTGCCGCTGCTCACCGGCGGGAGGCAGTAGGAGAAAGAGCCGCCTTATACTGCGGAGGTCTGAACCGGGAGCGACTCGGGCGATCTGCCGAGTGCGAGCAGGCCGCCAAACTTGTCGCTCGGGCCACCCTGCTTGTATCCGCAGCCGAAATGGAAGTCCTTGATGACGACGCCGGGCGCCAGCGTGAGCGCCTCGTTGCTGTAAACGCCGCTGGTCCTTAACCCTCCTGCGTACTCGACTCGATACTCACACTGGGGCTGGCTGCCATTGCTGTTCATGCTGCAGCCATTGTTCAAGTGGTGGTCAGACCGGAGGATCTTGCAGACGTCGGTGCCGCACGAGATGGGAGCGTAGGTGGAGGACTTGCGCGGGTCAAACAAGGGATCCTTCTGAGGGTAGCAGTCGCTGGAGTTGCATGGCGTGCACTGCATCCACGACAGGTCGCTGCCGGTGTCGAGGAGGAGGACCTGCTCCGCGGCGGGCGTGCCCAGGCCCAACGTGACCACGTACTCCTGCGAGTCGACGGAGGTGCCCAGGTACGCCGGGATGCTCACCTTGTCCTCGTCCTGGTCCTGCATCGTGGTGCCCCTCCGCGCTCTGCTCATGATGTAGTAGTCTGCGCGGACACGGCTTCTGTGAAGCGCCTCAGCGAAAGATGGCTTGTCGGTGGACTGCGACTTGGCGCAGGGTCCGTGCCTGTGCACCAGCGGCGCAGCGGCGCGGTTTGGCCACGACGTCACTGAAACATCCGAGTGTCATACTGCTGAATTATACCATACTCAATTCATGTACCGCTGTACGCCTGTTGATGTGGAGCAGACATCTTCTGTCTGAAATGATCTGGTTGACACCACAACGAAGCTTTGCTTACCGTCGCCTGCAGCAGAAATGGAAAGGTAGCTGCCAAATATGACCAGGAGGATGGACAAGAACACGGGAGATGCCATTTGAAGTTAGTTTACACCAGGGCTCAGTCTAGGACGCCCTAATTTATACACCAACTACACAGCACAGGAATCTATGTGGGACTGAACAATCACGGGAAATGAAAATGGGAAGATAATACCAAGCATGGGTGGAGCCGTGGATATGTTTAAGGTACACTCGTCTTATTAGCAGTGAGTAGACAAATTAAACAAGGATAGTTTCTGTCATCGAGTTAACCCGCACTCCTTTGTCATGTACGTTCACTGCCCGCTTCCTACCTTGTAACTAGCGTGCAATATATTCTTAAAGTAAAATCATGTCCCCGTCTCTCGACATACCAAATTAATGAATATCATGAAAGAAAAGTGTTGATTTAAAACCTTGATATTTAATCTCAGTCTCTGACTATCCAACTTCTAACCCCTTGGGGTTTCTTTTTTCTGAAATGAGGCAAAAGATTTGCCATTCCATTGTGCTGTAGAGAAGAGTACGGTTTTTCGACAACACAGCCCCGCCAAAGTGAAAAAGGGATAAAGACCTACTCTCACGGCATCAAATTACACAATTGGTAGCGCCCGACAGAGCACAGATAGACGCCTCCTCTTTAACAGTTTGCACGATCACCGCCACAAGAGCCACCTTGGTCCTGAACACATATGCATTTCGTTCCTTCCAAATCTCCTTGCCTTCTACTTTTATAATGCCGTTTATTTTGGACCCTATGCTTGTTTGCTAAAATGAGCAAACACGGCATCTAACACTAGTACAACTAGATAAATGCCCCGTGCGTTGCTGCGGATGTTATTGTGTAAAACTTAAAAAATTCATGATGTGTATTCTAGAGAACAAGTAAAGAGATAGAAAGAAAAATAATATTACCGAACATGCTCTAAATTGCAAGCTAAATAGGCCTTAGCGGTTAACCGCCCGACTAGAAGACCTTGCATGTTTTGGATTTGCCCGATCAGTTGACGCCTCGCGGACAAAGGAATTGAGCCAAAGCGCTCAAAATCGGGATATTTTTTTAGACCGATGGAGCGCCGCTGTGTTGGTTTCCTTCTCCGGTGAGATCTCAGCCCTCTTCCAACACTACCAAAGCCAGCTTTCCAGGAACAGCGCGCCCGGATCAGTGACTGCTGGCATACTGTCGTCTGCGTCCAGTTGACACTGCGTACCCTGTGTATGTTGTGGGAATTGCACGATGTATTGCTCTTCGTGCATAGGCACGTATATATAATGTACAAAGGTGAGTCACAGACCTCAACTATACAAGGAACTAGGAGTGGACCCAATACACAATATGCACGTAACACATTTACTCAACACCCCTCCCCCCCTCCCCCGCGCAGTCGAAGCGGCACCGCAGCTGACGCAAAGACTGGACCGGAACTCCTCAAATGACGCCGTAGGCAAGCCCTTGGTCATGATATCTGCAAGTTGTTGGGAAGTAGAGACGTGCAAAACACGAATATGGCCAAGGGCCACCTGTTCCCGAACAAAATGAATATCCAACTCAATATGCTTGGTCTGTCGATGATGCACCGGGTTAGCGGAGAGATAGACGCCGATACGTTGTCGCAGTAGACCACCGTGGCACGATCAACAGGGCAAGAAAGCTCATGAAGCAGCTGGCGAAGCCACGAACACTCGGCGACGGCGTTGGCCACCGCGCGATACTCAGCCTCAGCACTGGAACGAGAGACCGTAGGCTGCCGCTTGGACGACCACGAGATAAGTGAGGGTCCAAGGTAGACACAATAGCCCAAGGTGGAGCGACGAGTGTCAGGGCAGCCCGCCCAGTCTGCATCGGAGTAGGCGGTGAGGGCGGTGTCGGCAGAGGCATGAAGCGTGATGCCAAGATTCTTAGTGCCACAGACATAGCGGAGAATCCGCTTGACCGCAGCCCAGTGAACGTCTCGAGGAGCATGCATATGAAGACACACCTGCTGCACAGCATACTGGATCTCCGGTCGAGTCAGAGTGAGGTACTGAAGAGCACCAACAATAGGCCGATAGAAAGCAGCATCCGAAGCAGGAGAGCCATCCATGGCAGAAAGCTTGGCCTTCGTATCAACAGGCGTAGCGGCGGGCTTGCAGTTAAGCATGCCAGCGCGCTCCAGGAGCTCATAAGCGTACTTCCGCTGATGAAGAAAGAAGCCATCGGGACGGCGCACCACCTCGACACCGAGGAAGTAGTGCAAAGGACCCAAGTCCTTGATAGCGAACTCAGCGCGAAGACGAGCCGTGAGCTGACCGAGGAGACCACCCGTACATGCCGTCAGGATGATGTCATCGACATAGAGCAACAAGTAGGCCGTGTCGACGCCCTGATGATAGACGAAGAGCGAGGCATCCGAGCGGGTAGAGCGGAACCCAAGCTGGTGGAGAAACGCTGCGATGCGCTGGTACCAAGCGCGCGGAGCCTGCTTGAGTCCGTACAAGGACCGCGAAAGCAGGCACACGTGGTCGGGATGCGCCGGGTCAACAAACCCGGTGGGCTGCTGGCAGAAGACCTGCTCCTCGAGGTGGCCATGGAGGAAGGCGTTAGAGACGTCCATCTGGTGCACCGGCCAAGCACAGGAGACCACAAGGTGGAGAACCGTGCGTATCGTGCCGGGCGTGAGGACTGGAGCGAAGGTGTTGGTGAAGTCGATGCCAGCACGCTGTCGGAAGCCACGAACGACCCAGCGCACTTTGTAGCGATCAAGGGTACCATCAGGACGGAGCTTGTGTTTAAAGACCCACTTCCTGGTAATCACGTTGGTGTGCCGGGGACGGGGAACAAGCTGCCATGTCCGGTTGCGCAACAGGGCGTCAAACTCCTCTTGCATCGCAGCCATCCAGAGCGGGTCACGAAGAGCGGCTCGAACAGAGGATGGCAACGGCGATGGCTCAGAGGTGGACGCCGCATGGACGTAGTCATCCGAGGCGTAGCGCGAGCTCAGGCGAAAAACGCCCGTACG